ACTGCAGCCAGTGGCCAAAAAGTGCATATATTCTGTGCCTGCTTGACAGGAAATAACTCTCCACACCAGCAGGCAGTGGTAGTCTGTATTTGTCATTCAATAATGAAAACCAGAAGACAGACAGGACAGATTCAAGATGCCAGTTAGCTCATTAACAACACAGCCTAATGTTAAAAGAACAAATGATATTTACAGAGCGTCGGTGAACAACAACACAAACCACTAGGAAATGTTTCTACATAAGAGCTCAGTGGCTGAAAAATAATCATACCTACTAGAACAAGTTTGTTTTGATCTAACTTCCTCTTGACTTAAGCAGTTTGCTTTCCTCACCTACGTTTTTCCTCTTGCGCACTGAACTGAAGTGTCAATCAGAGCAGTTTCATTCACTGACGGACTCCGATGTCTCTAAGGCTGATACAACATGAATCGACCAGTGCAGGACACCTCACTAAAAAACAGGGCAACAGAGACATGGCCCATGGTTGGCTTGGATTCATCCTCTGGGAACCATGACTATCTGTACAAAATTGGATACCCTCCAGTAGATGTTGACACATTTCACTGGATAAGTGACAACTTTGACCTGCTGGTGGCGCCAGAGGAAAAGTCGAGGATAAGAAAGTTCAATAGGATTCATTTTCTGGGCATCAGGAGTGCCTGGACAAAAAATTTAGTCTGAATCCTTCAAATAGTTACTCAGATTTTTTAGTCTGGACTAAAGTGGTGGATTGACTGACCAACTCATACTGTTATATTCAGAGCCATGCTGCTAGCTGGCGTGGCTAATAATGCACTCACACAGCAATGCTTTGGTTCACTACTTACAACTGGATGTTTAATGCACTGTCTCCATTAAAAGTATTTGTTTGGATATGGGCTGGTGTGCTATTCTAATTAACACGACAGATGTTGATAAACTGGAAAGACTTGCTTTTTGACTTGCAAGTCAAGTGTCAGGGACTTGAGACTTGACTTGGACTAGATCCAAAAGACATATATATCTCCATTGTGCTGTCATCATAAAATGCTGAACTGAAGTATATTTCTATAAACAGGTATTGGGCAAGGTCTTTATCAAAAGAAACTGACATGATCTTTCTCTCCACTTTGGTTCAGCTAAAACAGTCATTCATTGTGTGTGTGTATGTGTGTGTGTGTGTGTGTGTGTGTGTGTGTGTGTTATGAGAAGACTTTTTTCTTTACAGATCGACCAACCTGTTTGGAAACGATGATGTCACACACCCCAGAGGCTTAATATGAGCCCTCATTGTGCAGACTCATTATCCATCACATAGACACACACAGTCAAAAATAACACACAGAAACACACACTCACTCACATATAAGGACACTCAGTCAGGCAGGAAGAAAACCCATAATCTCTGTGCTCAAACGTTCCCTTTATAACATACGTGTATTCACACACGTAGATGCACAAAAGGTGTCCTCTTACTCTGGAGATCCGTTCACTTTCAATTGGCCATTTTGCCATCCAGGCTGAGTTATCACTGGAAAGATCCATAGTAACAAAAGAGCCGTGGCTGCTACAACCCTGCATAAAGAAGCTGAAGAGAGGTGAACAGGGACAAAGGGCAACACCTTTGCATAGAGAAAATGGGAGAGAGGCTCTGGAGATTGTCCAGCCAGGAGAGATTTTCAGAGGCAACCTCATTCAGTCCCGTACAACGTTATGTATAATGCATGGGCCTAAGAGTTGGCAGTTCTCTAATTTTTTTTTCCCCTGTGCAATCAATAGGATGAGCTCCCTATATGGAGGCACCAAAGCACAAAAACAGAGCAGTGTTGTATTCAGAAACGGGGTTTTGAATCAACAAGGGAGAAATGTTTTGTAAAGTGAAAGTTGATTTAATAGCAGACAAGTCTTGGACTTGGATTTAAACACTAACAACTCGGGAGTGAACTTGTGACTTCACTCACCACCATGCAACCCCCTTTCCCTTTGAATTCACTTTCATTATCCAAGGCCTGCATTTGTTTCTTCTGTATCTTTATTTTTATACATTTTATTGTTTTTTCTTTTCAGCAGTCACCTCCGTTTGCTGTTGCCATCATCTGTTTTGTTCCACTTGGGTTGAGATGTTTTATGAGTCCCTTGGGGTTTTTTTCATCTCACCCACACAGTTTACATGTTTTTTTTTTTGTTCTCTATTTTCAGTGTGTCGTGATTTAGATGAGAAAATAAACCTAAGCCCCCTTTTAATGAGTGTTTTTGTCACATTCCTCAAAATGCGCAACAACCACAACAGTTTTCTCTGGTATCTAAGAAACAGTTTGACATCTGACCTTTTATTTCAACTGTTGATGTGGGAAATTCATTTTTAAAAATATACAAAATTAAAGTATTTGCAGTGCACTGTTAAAGAAAGTATGAGGAAGGAAATGATGTGTGATCAAAGAACAAGAGTCTACAGCCATGCTAGCAACCACAGACTGCATAAAAATAATGGACATAGTTACCATGACATCACCCACTGGTTTGTGAACCCCAATTTTGAAGCCTTAAGTTTGGCATTTCGGCCGTTGCCATCTAGTATTTATGGAGCCAGTAGTGACATATTAATCACACATAACTTTGAGCCCTAATAAAATGGGATAAGTTATATATAAATTCAACAACAAGCCCCCCACCCCCATACAATTGTCATGAATGTCAAAAACTAGCTATATAGCTATATTGTACCAGGCTGTAAACATGTTTATATCTGCTGTAAAGTTGGACATTTTAACATGGGGGTCTATGGGATTAACTCGATTCTGGAGCCAGCCTCAAGTGGCCATTTAAAGGAACTGCAGTTTTTGGCACTTTCCTGTTTCAGCCCCAGAGGTTGCCACTTATTAGAGACTCTAAGGCTGTTTTGCACTACATGCTAACATCATAATATAAATTCTAGCATGCTTATGTTTAGCAATTTAATTTCTCCCATTATATTAGCTCTGTTTGTTAGCCTGCTATTTGCTAATTTGCACTAAAAACTAAGTACACCCCAGGCAAATGATAATGTCTGAAAGTTTTTCAGATATTTGATCATAATTCTGGTCGCATTCAATGTTGACCTGATGATGGTGCACTATTAGAAGTTACCCAAAGTTATTACAAATCTTTCCAAAGAGGGACATGCATGTCTGAGCCAAATTTCATGGCAATACATCCAATAGTTGCAGAGACATTTCACACAAAACCATAAATGTCAATCTCATGGTGGTGCTAGTATATAAGAACAATCAGGGGTTCTCCAAAGTCAGTAGGATATATTATCTGGGAATCATGAATGTATGTCCGAAATTTCATGACAGTACATCTGATAGTTGAGATATGTCGGTCTGAACCAAAGTGGTGGACAGATCAATTAACATTGGAGCCCGGTCTCACTCCGAAGTCATCGAAAAGTGGCGTCAGAAACCAATAAAAAAAGGCATCCTTTAACGTCGGCATGATACACAGCTGG